TTGACAATCTTGTGGCTTCTTCCTCCTCCTCAACATCTCACTTTTCAAAGGCTGCTATTCAGAGTATGGTGGAATCACTTACAAAAGCTCATGAAGCCTCTATCAGCACAGCTGCTGCTGCCATTGATAAATCCACGCAGGCTAGTGCGGTAGCGACCGAAAAAGTCGAAAAACTATTTCAGGACGCCCAGATCTGGCTGGAGTCCTTACAGGAGGCTTCAGAGTTAAACACTAAGAAGATCCGCACCATTGTGGAGAAGCTGGTCCACTCCTTCAAGACGGAAAAAGATCAATTTGCCAGCTTCCGCCAAAAACTCAAAGAAGACAACCAATTATTTGTGTCTTCGGTTGCGGATCGTCTTCTCTCATTCCAAGCCACTCTAGCCGCCGAATCTACCTCAAAGGAAGAGCTTGCCCGAAAGTCTTCTGAGCTTACCTTGGTAACTCATCAGCTCTCCCAGGCCGAGAAGGAAATCGATTCTCTTCGGTCCGAGAAAGCTGTGGTAAGGAGTTGTGTTTCAGATGTCCACGGAGCTTTGTCCAATATCCTTGAAGCCCATGATCCGATTCTCAACTATTCGGTGAGGCGAAGTCTTGCAGAAAAGCTCGCTCCTGCTCTTGCCCTTCTTAGCCGTATTGAAGGCATTCCTGAGCAGGAGGACCATCCGAAGCAAGGGGGAGAAAAGAAGAAGCCCACAGCTCAACAGAAACCCCCTCCAAGTTCTCTACCTCAATCAATTCCACTTTCATCACTTGTCCCTCCAAAAGCACCCAAACCAACATCTGGTCCTTCATCAGGTTTGAGTGCTCAAGCCAAAGCCAAACAAATTGCTGACGACAGTGATGAGAGTGATGATCAGGAGCCAATTGTCAGCTTGGTCAGGAAGCAGTCCAGAGAGAGAGAGCTTGATGAAAATGCTCAAATAATCAGGGAAGCCGAGGCCAAGGAGAGGAAGATGAAGGAGGCTCATGACCTCCTTGAAAGCAAGAAAACTCTGTTTCCTCCTTGGACCCTCGAGGTGCTCATTAAAGAAGCCATTGAGTCTCCTTGCACTCTTTGGCTAGAACCGGTCATCTCACTAGACCGTGTCAACTTAATCGATTCCCAGTTCGACATGCCCCTGACCCGAAAGGCCTTCATCTTCCATGCGTTCGCTCATATAGCTAAAGTTCCCCATCCTCACCCGAAGGTGGATAGGGAGCTTATAGACTATTACCTGAGGACTGCTCAACCTCAGTACCAAACTTGGAGCGCACAGAAGATAACTAACGTTCGGGTACTCAAGCCTGTTCGTGAAGGTAACTTTGTTAATATCAGATTCAAGGTCTTGAGGGGATCTGAAAAATCTGAGCACTCTATCTCTCTGGCTGATCTTCCCAACCGCAACCCTCACGATTGGATCGTTCTGCACAACATTCTGCTTGTCAATGAAGCTGAAGATGGTCCGGTCATAGACCATTTCAAGAGAATGTTAGTTTGCTATATTTTGGAGGTGGCTAAGCTTGATCAAGAGATTGCCAATATCCTGAGGAAGAAGCCCATCATCACTCCAGTGGGTTCTGCTAGCGACATAAACCGAATGAAGATGGGAAAAATTGACCCGAAACAGAACTTAATCATGTTTACTAGAGCAGAAGGTCAGAAATGCCTGTTTGCTTTGGCTGACAAACATCTTTACACGACTACTTGTCTAGAGCATGTTCTGGGTATAATCAATCGTTGCAAGCAGAACACGGATAGTGACAAAAAGTACTTCAATGATATGATAAACTGGTACATTCACTTCTTTCAAACACTTCTTGCCATCATCCCCTGCCTGTTCAAGACAGTCAAGAAAGCCAGTGCTGCGGGGGCAAGCAAGCTGGAGTGAAATCTCGCCTCAATTGACGCAAAGGGGGAGATTGTTGGGTTATTGGTGTTGCATCTTGGGCTCGCTTCTTAGTCCATTCTTTGTGCGCTATGGGCCTGTCCATCCGTATCCTATTTTCTAGGGTTTGTGTATTTATAGATGCTTGCATGCATCTTTTACGTAACTGATTGATTAGGGTTTTACGGTGTAATTATAGAAGTTATCTTTTTGTAACCCTAGAATCCTCTACAGTGGAAGTTCTTCATCGAGCTCTGCTGAGGATTGAAAGTTTAATCATTCGACATATTCAAATCCATTCTTGAGTATTGCTTTATATTCTTTATATACCTGTTTCAAAGATCTATTCGATCTTAAAGGTTTTTAATCTCATCAGTTCTTAATTTGATAATAAGCAAGTAAAAACATGTAACAAAAAGGTTCAACTAAGGGGCTTTATATAGCCTTACAAACATAATAAAATTAGGAAACTATAAAATAAAAGAAACTTCAAAATAAAAGAAAAGTACCTTGGAAAGACTTATTCACGTCAAAAATGCCCCTTTAGAACCTTCCATCTAACTCACTTCAGAAAGCATGCAAACCCCATGAATACATGCCTTTTGACCACTTACCCTTTCACATCCAACAACTTCGCATCCAAAAAAATAAAACTAACCATTCACAATCACCTTCCCAAGCTTCACATGTGTAATGACTCTTTTGGGTTTCACATCCACTATGCAACACTTACGATGGTTTCCGATCATTAGCATCCATGCGCACCCAGTCGCATCCAACATGTGACTTAAATTGTGAAAGGTTTCGATTCACATTCATATCAGAATATCAAGAGAGGGGATATAAGGTGGATATAGATGATGACTATTAAAGTTATGAAGTGAAAACGAATGAGGAGATCACGGGGGATACAATGGGAAATATTGGAAAAATGGTCAGGAGGATGAAACTTTTACTGGTGTAAAGGAAAAGAAAGAAACTACAGATGTGTAACATCAAGATGGAGTTGGAAAAGAAAATGATGTTTTTCTAGGAGTGGTAAAGGATGTGACTTCTGAAGAGGGTATGTAGGAGCACAAAAATGGTAAACAAAAGCAAATAAAGTGCAGAATAATAATAAACAAGATGGGATAACTTTTCAATAATGCTTCTTATTTCAACAAGCTCTAATATTCATGAAGAATATCAGCAGTGAAATTGTAACATCCCAAAAATCAAGGCAAAAATTTCATTATTAATTAAGCGGTTTATAAAAGAACTTATCAAGACATTGCCAAAATCATGTCAATACATAAAACCATAGTATCATGTCGGAAAATCATATCATCTGAAGTAATGAAATATCATATTACAATCCCAGAAAAACTCTAAACGGAAATCATGTGTGCGTGTGTGATGTGTTGCTATACCGCCAGCTCCTTCCCCTTGGACAAAGAGGTACTTGAAACCAAAAACTGAAACTGTAAGCACAAAGCTTAGTGAGTTCCCCCATCATACCACATACCATACATTCACATAACATACATACTACCGGGCAGTTTCGGGGTGCCCGTCCTACCCATATCAAGCCATTCTGGGGTGCTGACTTACCCATGATGAGTTATTCTGGGGTGCTAACCTACCTATGTCAATCCATTCTGGGGTGTTGGCCTACCCATGTCAAGCCATTCTGGGGTGCTGACTTACCCTCCGGTCTATCTCAACCGGACACGAGGACTATTTCACCCCTACTACTAGTACATAATATCATATCATAATCATGTTGTCATACATATCTGGGGTGTCCGACCTTCCCATTGGTCCTAGCGACCGAATTGGGGACTAGTCCCCTTCTACTGATACTATTTCACATAACATAGCAACTAGCAACTAGCATACTCACATATCCAGCAATCTAGCATACTCGCATATCCAACAATAATAGTCCCGACAACTATCACAAAGACAATCATCCCAACTAACAATTATTAGTGGGTTGGCCTTGGTGCCTTAGACCCACTCCTACTGGAATGTAACTCACCTCGATGTCGTGTAGCATCTAAATCGACGTGAAGGTCGGCTCTCCTCGACTCCTTAATCCCTACATGACAATCCTCAAGTCATCAAACAGAACATACAACCCTAACCAGGGTCGATACCATAATCAGTCAAAGTCAACACCCAGTTGACTTGACTCGCCGAGTTGGTCCACCAACTCGCCGAGTCTATACTTCACTAACCCGATACAACCCCGAATCCACTCGTCAATTCTAGAAAGAACTCGACGGGTTCTTCATTCAAACCATCAGGACCATCCTCATCCGACTCGCCAACTTCTTCTTTGAACTCGGCAAGTTCATCTCCCTCACAAGAACATGCCTAGTCTACAACTCGCCGAGTTGTATGAACAACTCGTCGAGTCCATCTTCAAAGGTTGGGAGATTGCATTGTACTCACCGATTCTATTCATACACTCGTTGAGTCCCATGATTCCCATGTCCTTTTTCGCATCTAAACATCTACGGGACTTCCCTCCCTAACAATTGGTCCATCCACAGAATGGATTTGATGGTCATTACACCGCGACTCGCTGAGTCCCAAGAACAACTCGGCGAGTCCATCCTTGATCATTACTATACAATCAATTTAAATGGATCTTAACACATCAAAACCATAGATTTGGCCTCCCAATGTCCATTTTACACGTAAAGCCTCAAGCTTGGTGCACATACATGAAATTTTTGGCTTAAAAAGCCATAAAAATGATATACAAGATGCATGTGGTGTTTATGGCAACAAAGTTGGCATCTTTAAGCCATAAAGACCCCCAATGGCCTCAGATCTGAAGTCATAACCCACATATTACACTTCACAACCTGAAAATGGCTTAAAAGCCCCAAAAATACCAAGATCTAAGCCTTAAAGATGATTATTTACATGGAGGATCAAGATAGGAGCATTTACCTTAAATGAGCTGGAAATGGAACGAAATCTCTGGATATCCAAGCTCCAACTTGAACTCTCAAGCTCTTTTCCTCTTCTCAAGCTTCACAATCCACCAAAATGCACAAAATGGCCTTAGAACACTTAAACAAGGGCTAAGGTTACAAGGTAATGCCATTTGGGAGTATAAGAGACGATGGATGCTGCAATGGGGGATTATAAGTCGTTTAAATAGGGTGCAAACCCTAAATATTAGGGTTTTGTCCAGACAGATCCTACTCGTCGAGTCGGTCTTCAGACTCGTCGAGTAGGTCACTAAACCCCCGCATCCAAAATTGATTCTACTCGACGAGTTGGTCCTTAAGTACTACGGTAAAAAGAAAACCACTTGGTTATGTCTATTTCTTCTAGATATGCAATCTATAGAATTCGGAATGGCACACCCATTAAAACTTTATTCATATGATTCTAATCAGATATTTGCTATGTACATCGTAGCACACGCAACTTAATTCGAGTGTCATTTACACTTCTCGAAATTTTGATACAATCACTCATGTCTTGATCAGAAGTCATTAATATCCATTCTTTATCTTCATCTTGGTACTTGAGTTTATAAGTCGTAACTTTCAACTTAAACCTCTTGCCAATTTCCTTCTCAACAGCTTCGAATGTTGTTAATGAGATAGGCAAATGGAATTTGATCACATCATCTTCATATTCTGCTTTTATAATCACAATATCTCCATCGATACCCCAGAGGCCTTGAATTGCTCCATTATCTTCTTCATTCATCTCACTTCGATTCCCATACGAGTAATTTATTTTCCTGCTTCCAAAGCTTGGTCCTTTCCATTCAGAAATGCCATGAACCCTACACTTGCGTTTCAATGTTGACAAGGAAACTACAAAAAGAAAAAAATATATATGAATAAGAAAGAGTCATAATATTCCATACCCAACATGATAATGTAAAACAAATTGTAATCTAGAAACATAATATTATCATTACCATTAAGGTTTTTTGCTGCTTCTTTCATTGTTCTTCCAAATTGTTGCTCAATGTCCTCTCGAGGTAATGCTTTTTCGGTTGTCTTGCATTTCACGTCCAAAGGTCCTATGCACTCCTCAGCTACTAGCCTCATTCCTTTTTCCAATAATGTGGGTATTGGTGATGATTTCTTTCCTTCAAAAATCTTGAAATATTCAATTTCACTTTTGGAAGAAGTTACATCACCAAGTTCACCACCAAAAGCAAATGTGAAATCTTGAACACTTAATTCTACACCAGAATTAAACTTGATATCTACAACAAGTAATTCATCACCAAGTTGTAAACCAGAAGAAAATTTGAAATTTGGCAAACACCTCTTTAGTGTTAATATTATCGACTCCAACAAGATAATATGGTTTCGACTTTGGACCCATAAGAATTCAAAAACATAGTCAAGATTACCAGTCTCAATGCTCCTTAAACATATAACAAAGCAACTATGTTCTTTAATGGTAATAGGAAATAACAGCGACAACTCATAATTACTCATCTCATAGATATTTCTACACAAGTGTGGTTCGTAATTTTGAACTGTCTTCCCAACAAGTCCTTCCCCTATTTGCAAAGGAAGCGTATCACAGATAGCGTAATAATCCTTAAACGACAAACGATCTTCATCATCTGAATTATCACAATGAGCTATCAATTTGAGTGGTATTATTCGTTTCATATGTGTATCCTCATAAGCGATACACACTTGAGCAAGAGTCAAGTCGTGTGATTCACATACTCTCTGTAATGCCTCCTCGATTTCATCAGTCACGTGTTTCAGACCCACTATACTCTGTTCATGTGTGTAAAGTATTACATACATTCAGTTTTAGTAACTATTCGACTATAATGTTAGAAAAAGTTTTTTAAACAAATTCACCTTGTATAGCATACGTTCTTGTCCATGAAATGTAGATAGACCCACTTTCTGTAAAGAGGAGGAAACTAAATTAAACGTTATCGTTAACTAAATAAACGGAGAAAAGAAAGATTTAAAAAAAGACAGCTGAAGTTTATTAGTAGCGTAAGTTTTGGAAACTTAAACCAATTAAACCAACCTGTAGTGCAGTGTTCATGTGGTTGAAAATTTCAAGAAGATCATCAAGCTTATTCGCAGAACACTCAACAACACCAACACATCGGCTTTGAGAAGGATCACAAATAGGCAGAAGAAAACAAGACATCAATTCACATTCCAAAGCAGAACGCATCAATGGATTCCCATGGTAAACTCGCATATCCAGAACTACCTCTGCGAAATGATTTATGAATGAATTTGCAGGTGCACCACTAATAATCGTAGTGTCATCTCCAACTTCAAGCTTATTGGCATCGATATTATACTGATACTTAAGAGAAAATAACCTATGTTTCTGGAGCCCAGAGTCAAGGTATTTTAGGGCAAAAGGTTGATCGTAAGTTGTAAGCAGGCGTCTACTGCTTGATTCCACGGGTGCCCAAAATTGAATTAACCCATCAAAAGAACACAATTCAACTTCACAAAATGCAGATTTTATCGCTGTTTGAATCTCCCAAGGATCAGTAATATCAAGAACGAATCCACGATTATCTGTGTAATTTTGAATTTTGAGTATTATTGAATGAAAGTTAAAAGACATATGAATCGGATTTTAAGGTGACTCACCGGAATATCGATTACTTTGAGATGATAAGTTTTGGCTCCAAAAAACAAACAATCCACGCTTAGATACAGGTTGCGAGTAAAGAAGTTGTGTTGTAAACGTTTCAAGGAAAGCGGAGAGCCTGTCGTCAATGGGCGATGGGGAAGACTCACACGGACTTTCATCATCAGAAGGTAACCCGACGAGCTCCTTCTGGCCAGTCGTATAATCAGCCATCTAATTCTCCGACGACCAGAGGCGCAATTTCTCGGCGTTTACGCAGGGTGTTGCTGATCGGACCACATTTGACTTTTAAAGGGTTTGACTTGGTCTTACACCAATTATTCATCATTGTTTTCCATTTTCATTTTTATTAGTTACTGCAATTATTATATGGGTTTATTTAAAAAAAAAAAATTAATATGAAAATTTTACAATATCAGAAATTTCAATTTATAAGAAAAATAAGAAAAAATTTAAATTATTAAAATTAATAATCCTTTAATACATTGAATACATTACATATAAAAATCATTTTTAATAAATACTTTACATATATATTACCTTATATATTAAATGTGAAATTTTAATTTAATAAAATAATAAATATAATAAAATGACAAATGAAAAATAGAAAAATTTTAAAAATTTAAAAAATACCATGTATCCAAATAAAGGAGAAGAAAACATATAGCAAAAAAAAACTTTCATTTATTAAGGAAGATGATTATTACATAAAACTATTTTTTTTTATTTACAAAATAAACCCTTAACATTCGAAACATTATTTCTCGTAGTGTACAAATGATCTAAGTATTTTAAAAAGTTGTTTTCTTCAAATAAAAGGACAACACTTGTAATTTATCCGATCAAGGGTTTGTAGAATATTTTTTTAATTATTTCTTGTAGACGTGTACACATGATTTTTAAAAACATTTATTTTAAAAACACTTTGTGATTTTAATATTTTCTATTTTAAAAACATTAACTTTTATATATATATATATATATATATATATATATATATATATATATATATAGGGTAAAGTGAATATACCTAACAACCTTATTTAAGCTTAGGTACCTAACCACATCATACTACGTAATTTTGTATCATATTTGCATTGTAATCACCCAAAGTTCTTAAAATTCAAGTTCATAACTTGATTGCTTCCAAAATCTTTGGTCTTTCACCATTATCTTCCTTCAAATAACATCTTTATATCGGAGACCCCTTGGTGGGCTTCATATACTACCGTTACAAATCAAATGGTGTAGGAAGAATATAATGGTGAATGTCTAAAAATCTTGGAAGTAAATCAAGTTAAGGGTTGAAGTTTAAGAACCTTAGACGATTGCAATGGAAATATAATGCAAAACAATGTAGTATAATGTGGTTAGGTACCTAAGCTTATATAAGGTTGTTAGGTATATTCACTTTACCCATATATATATATACCACCTAGGAGTAGTGTATTCACTTAATCGCAGGGTGGAGTTTTAAAAGTAGTATATTCATCCAAGATCCTAGTCTATATAAAAAAAGAAGTAGTGCAAACACTACTTGCGACAAGTACGGTTCTTAGCAATGGATTCGTCATCCATCATATGCCTATCTAGTGAAATTTGATGCTCCCTGAGTGCTCTCATTTCAATTTGATCAACAATCATTTCTTCATGAAGCATGTCTATGTGGTGTTTGGTTTCATCGTGATCTCTGTCCAGACGATGAAGATTTACGACGTTTACTTGGGAGGTAGCGGTGACTTCCAGAATTCAATTGATCGATATCCAAGATTGATCAACCTGACGAGAAATGTGACGTACTATAACAGGGAGGGCCCTGTCAGCTGAACCTCCATTGCTGATGTTATAGAGGCCTCTGTTCATACCAAAAGGAGGGCGTTGTCATTGCTGCTGACTCCACCTATGTCGTTCTTCACCCCATGTTGGTATCGTACCTTGGAAATCCTGTTCGGCTGCGGGGTTTTGATCGACCGGCGGTGGATTGTAGACTTCTGGATATGAGTCTGTACCATCTGAATCCTCCTCGGGATCCTCTTCAGGATCATTTTCAATCCAACCATTATGCCCTTTACCAGGGAAATAAGGATCTCCATGTGGGGGATATCCTTCCATAAAGTCTATACGAGAAATTAAAGGTAAGATGCATAGAAAGAATGTAGTTTTATAGTATTACAAAATACTCCTATAGTATTTTAAATTTGTATGTTATAGGTTCTCTATATGGTTTATCGGTAAGTTTTAGACTTGTCGCGACACTACCATAACTCCCAAACACATGTTGTAGTTGATCAGACTATATTTATCCCATATATGATTACATAACTATTTAAGTTTAATTGTATTGCCCAACATCCAAATACTTTTATGTTGTTACTTACTGTGATATTCTTCCTGTATGTATGTATGTTAGTGTACTTCTTAAAAAATACTTGTAATTTAAAAAAAAAAAAGTATACTTAAATTCAGAGCACTTTAGTCCCAATGTATTTATAGTTGTATATCTTTTATGAATTGATATAGTGTGTTCACTATAAACAATGCTCTGATACCAATTTGTCATACCCCAAAACCGGAGCGGCGGAAACCTCCGGGGGTGGATGACTTCATGTTAAGTATTACAACACATGCATGATAGTAATCAAAGTACAACAACCATTGCATTAATAAAGTATAAGTTTTACATATGGGTCCAATCATTGTATATTGACACCAAAATAGCTATAACAAAAGATAGAAGACATGACTCTATATAACTCCATCTTCTCAAAATCCTGCAAATGTATATGTCTACTGGTTCCCTGAGAATACAAGTGTTTTGAAAAAGAGAGTATATATCAACATTTAAGTTGGTGAGGGCATAAGTATTTATGTTTAGAAGTTTATTATCTATTCCTTGAAATCATGAGTATGTTACTGTTCCAGAAAATCCAATATTTTCTAACATAATTGAAAGTAGTTTTAATACCATAAAGTCGTTCTGTGTAAATGTTGTTGTAATATTAAATAGTGTAACATAGTTTTAGTTCACAATAAAACTTTATGAAGACTGTTTTCTGTATTGTTTATGTTTTCCAAGTTCTGTAATTGTACTCTTTAAAAACCCTGTAAATATGAGTGTGCCTAGCTCCACCAACTATAATTGCAAATTGTAATGTAATACTGTAAATCGTATTATTGTAAAACCAGTACATTGTATTCCAACTCTTTGGTTTAATTATGTATACACTAAACATATTCTTAATATATTTTTGTGAGTTATTATAACCACGCTATGACTAGTAGGTATGATACGACACTTTGTAGGCACCGAAACTGTAACGATATTTGTCACTCATAGGCATACCATCCTAACTGTGGTGAACTATCTGAGTGCGAGATTGTCAATCCCGTATAGATCTATACACATTTGTCTTGCTCTCTGTCTGACGATCCTGGTTATAATTATCAGGACTTTAATAGTATTACTTAAATGAATAAGCGAGTAAACTTTGTCTCACAAAAACCATATTGATGCTTACGTGTATAATAATGAGGAAAAGCCATTCTAAAATAAATGAACTGATAGTATGTTCCTTTTCTAGTATACTTAAATGTAAAGTATTTATACGAGAGTACACGGTTTAAACTTTGTATAACTAATTAATGAAAATAGTATGAGAGTTCCATAAATTATAAATATTATAATTTATATGTGTGTTCTGTTTGACATGTAATATTCATGAAAGTACCCCTTTGGTCGGCATGTTACAAAGGGTAATGAAACTGATTGAAGTACTTTTTATATTCATATATATATATATATATATATATATATATATATATATATATATATATATATATATATATATATATATATATATATATATATATATATATAATTAAAACTGAAACCACAATCAGGCAAATAATTCTACCCTAAGCCCTTTAAATCTTATATATATATATATATATATATATATATATATATATATATATATATATATATATATATATATATGATTTTGGTAAAATATAAGTTAAAAAAAGTTTATAAAACATTTAAAATTGTTTTAGAAATATTTAGAAATCATTTATTTGTAAACACAATATTCTTGTGTTAGACTTGTAACCCCCTCCTCTTAAAACAGTGAAAATTAGTAAAAACACAAGGGGTACGAACTCACTTGATAGGTGGTGACTTGGGCAGCTTTTTGTCTCTAGAAATGATTTTTCTTGAAGAAACTGTGAGTTTCTGATGAAAACTGGGCTTTACGCGGGCAAAGTTTCCACTGGAAAATATTATTTTCTCGAGGACTTCATGGCTCCGGGCTTTCTTCGGTGTTAGGGGATTCCTGAGGCTTCGGGGTGATTTAGAGTGGTTAAATAGGGTATAGAGAGTGAAAGAGGATTGAACTTTGTAAACCAAACCCGGAGACCTCGCATCCTATTTATAGGAGGCTTCTGACCTTGGTACGCAGGGAGTTCCTGCAAGGGATGCAACGTGTTCGGAGTGAGGCATGTCTATTGCTTGGATTCCGGGCTTCAAACGTTCGGGTGTTCCCTTGGACGCATCGCGTCCCCCTTAGGATAAGCTTCGAAGTTGTGTCCAAAACTTCAAAAATTCATAACTTTTGAATACGAGATCTGTGTTTGACGTTCTTTATATCCACGCGTAGGAGAAATTATACTATACAACTTTCATTTAGACTCCGTAGGCTAATTTTAAATTTATTTTTAATACTATATTTTAACAAGTCGGGATAGGAAAATCCGTTAAAAATTCATAAATTCTTCATCCGATGTCCGTTTTCGTTTGTCTTTTTACCATTCAACTACAAAAGACGAGATCTTTTAATAGGCCGGGATAGGAAAGATCCGTTAAAAAATCATAAATTATTCATCTGATGTCCGTTTTTGTCTGTCTTTTTACCGTTCAACTATAAATGACGAGATCTTTGATTCTCATTTAGGTTGTGTCGGCTAAAATCGCTAGATCTTTAATTCGAGTTTCAGGTTGTGCACTGCTATGTCGAATCTTAGAAAAATCATAACTTCTTCATACGAAGTCAGATTTGGATGTTGTTTTTATGCACACTCTCGGTTTAACGTATACTACAACTTTCATTTAGATACCTAAGGCTAAAAATTATTTTATTGTAAATTCACTTTTTACGCTACACAACATTTTGCTAAGTTTGTCGTGAATCTTCGATAGGTCATAACTTATTTGTTATAACTCAGATTTCGGTGTTCTTTATATTTTCGAAATCCTTGTTACAATCTCTACCAGTTTATTCATCCCAATTAAGTTTATTTAAGATTTTATTTTTGAGGATCAAATAAGTGA